CCATCGCAACACCATACCGACGATAACAACAACAACCAACAAAAAAGTGCAAAGTCGTAGTAGTAATAAAACGAACCCGGCGACACAAATGGTATATTTGAAACAGACACTCGAAAAATTCCGTAAAGCATGGTGTAACAGAACCAGCGCTCCCGACGCTTTGCTTTCCCGATATGAGGACCGATGCCCATGAATACCAAAGTGAGGAAGGAAGAAGAATGGGAAAAAGTAACCCACGAGAAAAAAAAAAAAAAAAAAAAAAAAAGGCTGTGCTACAAAGTAATATTCAAATCAAACCCCTCTCGAGAACCGAGAAGCCCGCCCGAGTGTACTGGCGCCGGCCGGAGGGGATCAGTTCACTATGAAGAAACGAAGAAGAATAACAAATGGCCCTGATGCCGTTTCCTTTCCTGAATCCCTTTCCCTTTGAGACATTCCATCGTAAAACCATGCAGCGAAAAATAAAAGGGCCGAGAGCAGTTTGGGCTGTGCCCTCTACCCCTGAGAACCAGATACAAACGCCGCTTTATACTTTTTTTTGTACCATTCCCTATAACGCCACGTTCCGTCGTATATCATGTGCGTAATGAACCTCCCGTGCTTCACGGCCCCCGGAGGTCAAATGAGATAACTCATGACGGCCACCTATTCTGGGTAGCACGGCCGACGTTCGAAGAGGGTAAATAGCTATTATTCATCCCCGTGGCTGAAGAATAGAGAGATGCTGCGCTCGAGCCGGTTGTTCGCTGCTGCGAAGGCACGCCGCTACCTAGCCCGTACGAACCGGTACTAAGTCCTAGCCCGCCATGACTATTACCAGAATCTAAGCTCTGGAGCTCAAGGAAGCTTGAGTCGAAAGGAGGTGCAAAAGCTGAGGGCATCGCAGGATGTGATGTACCATGAGTAGTTGTTGGAGTCTGGCGCGCGCCGAAATGGGGCGAGTGGTTTGAAACACCGTGACTTGCGGCACCCCCTGCACGATAATTACTATCGAGGGGCGAGGCCGAGGGTGTTCGACGCGGCGGATATCCAGTACTACTGTGAACAAGTGACGGTGACCCCCTATAATTAGTGTCCCCTTGCATGAGCGGTGAGTTGGACTGTGCGCCAAACTGAGGAGAATTAGTCATATGCTGTACAAGACCTGTTCCGGGAGATCCTGTAGCCATATGCTGAGGCTGACGTTGACTCGTAGAGTACGTGGGCGTTTGTGTGTTGTAGGACGAGCTAAGAGTCTGTGTTTGGTAGTAATTTTGAGACGGTCTAGTCTGCTGGTGGGAAGCTAATGTAGATGACATCTGGGGGGCCTTCGAAGTCTGTGAAGAGATAGGGGAGGCCGTTTGGGTATTCTGTTGCTGCATCTGTTGACGATTGGCAGTCTGTTGTCTTGCGTTATCCTGGCGATTTTGGAGCGCCGTGAAACGTTCGTAGTGAGCTTCCAACCCTTCCGCTGGGGTCGGAGAGGCTGTACTGCTAATGGATGCCGTTGTCTGATGCTGCTGCTGTTTCTGAGGGCGATTAGTGTTGCTCTGCACTTGGTCGCTGCGGTTCTGTAGCGCAGCTATCCGTTCATAATGAGCTTCGAGGCCTTCGGCCTGCGTATGGCTTTGAGAAGGAGCAGTGACCTGTCCAGCCTGCCGGGTTTGATCTAGATTGACCGTTGCAGACGACACAGTATTCTTATTCCCTATACTATTTGGAGTCGAGCGTTTCGCTGTTTGTAGCGATCCCGACTCCTGGGACTTACGCGGTCGCTTTGTAGACGGCGTAGTATTGGCATTCGTGGAAGTCTGCTGAATAGATTGGACGGCAGAGGGTTGCGTTTGAGAAATCGAAGCTGAAGTTGCTTGGGAAAGGCTAGACTGTGCCTGTTGGGGAATTGCATTACTTCCGACAACACCATCAGAGGCTCCGTCAGTTTGAGGGTTGACAGTACCAGTGGGGGCAGACTGACGCTTCCGCTTCTTCCCAACTATAGTCGACTCCTTAACTTGCGGGGTCGGCACCTGGCTGTTGGTTATAGCAGGCGGGGGCAATAGCTGGGCTCGCTGATCGTTCTGAGAAGCAACACCATCCGTGATAGAGGATATGGCAGTGCCACCTGTAAACGAGGGGCCAGAAACAGCATGCTGGCTAATTTGCTGGTTCGATAGGTCAGCCGTCTGCTGCTGCTGCTGCTGCTGCTGAGATGTAGCACCATCTTGACCTATGGACTCGCCGGCTACCTTAGGGCGATTCTTAGAACCCTTTGGCCGTCCCGAATTTGTCTTCTTTCTGGGTTGCTCACCGAGCATGGGTATTGGTACTGGTACAGGGGTCACCTTTGGTGGTACTGGGAGCGTCGATACATGATCAGCCTGAATAGGGGGAGCATTCGAGTTTGTAGGTGTGGAATCAGCCAGTTGACCAGCTTGCTGCACACCAGGCATGTCCTTAGGTCGGTTTTTGGAACCCTTTGGCCGTCCACGTCGTTTTGTATTGGACCCAGGCGCAAGTGTCGCAGCTGCATCGTTGATAGACTTAAAACGACCAGTCGAACCCATGATCGGAGTATTGTTAAACTGGCCTCCACCCTGAAGTTGCGGGGGTGTATTCGGAGCATTCTCCGATGGTCCCTCAACCTCGACTAGATCGTCGTCTCCGTTCAATTCCAGGACACTATCCTCTACATCCACCCAGCTGTCATCTTGAGCTTCTTGGGATCGGTTTGTGGTTCCCTTAGTACCCTTCTTGATACCCTTGTCGCTACGAGACTTGCTGGCTTTGCTGCCCTTCGGACGCCCCCTAGGCCGTCGCTGATTTATAGACTGCGCGGATGGGAACGATGCCCGCCTCCGAGGTTCTTTAAGGTTAGGAAATATCTCAGCAATCCACCCGACAAATAAAGAGCCGGAGCCGTTTGATTCTGCGCTTTCGGGGAATCTGCCATCAGCAGGAGGCGGGGCCTCGGGGATGCCGCCAAAGAATGCCAGCGCCTTACACAATTGGTCGACTACGGTGTGAGGGGGGAGAGTTCTTAAGAGCGTCAATAATCGAGCCTGTTCAGTTTTTGTTTCGGTGATGGTGAGAGGGCTAGCTGTCTCCGGCACTGGCACTGGTACTATTTCAGCGACCGGCTCTATAGAAGCAGACTTCTTCGGGGATGTGAATTGTTTCAAACCAGGTGGCCGAGGGTAGTTCGCTCGTCGTTGGTGAGATACATAGCTGTCAGTCTGGGCTAATTTGGCCTGCAGAGCCGTGCTCTCGCTTGTGCGCTTCGCAGCAGCATCACGACCTTCACTTGCGCGATGACTAGCAACATCCATGTGCATTACACTGAAGTTCCCCTTCATCTGTTCCGTAACATCTTTCAGTTTGCTCGGGACCGGATTTCTAACGCGTCCGTCTCGAGGATACTGTCTTAGGTCTGCATGCATAGAGCCATCATTCGATAACGTAGAAGACAGGAGGCCGTTAGTGCTGCCATTAATAGTAGGAGCAGCCAGAGATGGCGACGGTGCGGTTAGACCGGGGGTAGGAGATTCAGAGTGCGGCTGGATATTGGTACTCGGGGCTCTGGCAGCAATGGGGGGTGGATTATTTGCCAAATTGGCTGGTTGTTGGCCTGTGATATAGAGTTAGGTAGACACACAAGAGGGGAGGGGAAAGCCGCATACTAGATGTAGTAGCCATTTGGTTGGAGCAGTACCAACCATGACAAGGAGAAGATTACTACTGCCTGAGTTCTCGTCTTGTTGGCTACGCCAAAAGAATCAAACTTATCACTGACAGCTGAGTATGGACCGGTTGGCGGGATTCCATGCTCATCGACCGCAGACGGAGATATAGGAACTACCAGCGCGTCATCGCGAGTAGTCGATGCGACACCGCGATCAGCCGGGAGAATGGAAAGGATCAATGGGTCGAATGCGCCGAAAAGTTTTATATTGAGACTACCAGCTGATAGAAACAGAAGTAGCAGCAGTAATGATAGTGTTAATAGTATTAATAGTGTTAATAGTGTTAATAATGGTGTTGTAGTAGATGCTGGCTACACTAATAAAGGTGGGAAGTCGGGGCGGCGAATACGGTGCAGATTACAAAGTTTTGAACGCTGATGTTCAGCCCGTCGGCGAGGGGACAGGACAAATCAAAGTTAAATGTGGTTGATGGCGACAGGTGGTTGGGCTTCATAGGACTGGCTGACCGCTAAACGTTGGTGTAACGGGTTATTAGGACGATGCAGGTTATTCAAGACCAAGAACCAAAGGGGCGGGGGGAGGAAAAGGTAAAATAGGTAATTTTTCTTTAAAAAATGATGCTTTGGTAGTAAGTGGTTCGGACGATTTAGTTCTCGTGCTCCTTCGTCGGCGGCTATTGGATTTACACGTCGACTCTCCAAGATTTGGGGTTGTACCTCAGTCAAGACGGGATTAGTGGATTAGTGGATTTAGATAGCGGAGTCGCGAAGCTGTTCTGGTAATCTGGTAGTTTGGTACAATACATTAGGTACGTAGGTAGCTGTCTGAGGGATGGGGGATCCATTATCGCTTCCATGGCTGCCCATGGCTGCCATAGGCAATCAATAAACAGGATCGACTATGGGTGGTTTAATGGTCCGTGCACACCGTGTCCCGCAGCAGAAACAGCTAACCTGCAGCAAGCAAAGACGTTATCTTATCAACTAACCTACCTAAAAGCTAAGGTACCTACATACCTCTTTACTTTATCACCCTCTAGCCGGAGACTACGACTACGTGTGTGTGCATCTGGTATTTATTGATTGGCCCTTAATGACGGTAAACTCATGTAAGCTGAACAAAATATGGCATTTGAAGGCCCATGGATATTTTACCATTAGCAGTATTTAATAATATGCAAAATTGGACTACAATTGTGAATCGCAATAGTTCATAAGTCTTGATGCAATTGTATTTAACTAGGTTAGGTTAGTTAGTTATTTTATATTTGTAAGTGCCATTTTATAATATCAACCGGGTATCTACCACAACATAAGTTCCATTTTCCACTTCAGTAAAAGAGTTATCCTCGATACCATCAATCTAAAAGCCTACCTAATGTGATAAGTCATTATACAGTTAGCTAACTTAAGGTAGGTCCCATAAGTGCTTTTGTGCCGTAAGACTACCTAATAGACCTATAGCAGTGCACTTACACACTGAAGTACCTAAGTGTATTGTACCCCACTTAAGGCTGAGCTAGAAGGAGCACTGACGTTGAGTCTACAGCGGTACGGTACCTCTTGCAGCTGCTCCAAATTACAAAACAGCCTTACTTCAACTTTCCATAGCGCAGCTCCGTCTTGACCTCACCTCCATACCTAGGTACCTACCTCTTACCATAATCCGCGACCCGAGCCACAAACACATCGTGGCTACTTTTCATGCGAGGAAGTTATATTTATCCATCATCGGTGTTTCTTCCTATAAGATACATGCTTCCCTAGCTAGCTTAACTCCACATTCTCTAACACTAAGCAATATATTCCGACTCCACCTTCGAGAGCTCACCTTTCCAGCTCCTCTCGACCATAGCTAAAGTTACATTTATCGACGGGTATACTACGCAAGCACCAACGCAATTATTTAGTTCCCAATCGCCGCCATGGCCCCGACTCCGGCGAAATACGTTCTCTTGTCATTACCCCTGAGCACCTTCGACACAGGCGACCAGCAAGAAGCTCTCGACTCTGTCAAGACCACCATCACGTCTGCCAATGGAATCGTCTTGCCCTTCCCCGTCCCCAATTTTAAGATAGGGACTCTGGATGCCTTGGTCCAGCAAGCCGACGACCTAGCAAAGCTCAACACAGCCTGCGAGGGAGTGGTCAGCAAAGTTGGCGACGCCTTGCGATCCTTGTACGAAGGCAACGAGGATAAGGCTTCTGAACAAAAGATGGTTAACGACAGTACGTAGCCCTTACTTCTTGAGATCTTCGACATATTGCATATTGGGATATTGACAAAATACTTTAGAGCCGACGGATCAGTATCTTCGCACCTTTACTTGGAACAAAGTCCGCTACCGAGCCGACAGGCCTGTAGGCGAACTCGTTGATATCCTCCAAAAGGTACTTCTTTCTCCTTTAACGTAATTCTGCTCGGTTCTAGACGGGAGCTTGCTGACATGGACTCTTTGCGCCGCTAGGAATTGGCTACAATCGACAATGATGTCAAGGGCAAATTCAACCAATACAATCAAGTCAAGACGAACCTCGCCGCCCTGCAAAGAAAGCAAACGTAATGCGCCCTCAAATCCTTTGGTTACCGGAGCAGATACTGACCTTCCCCGTTGAATTCAGGGGTAACCTCGCGACCAAGTCTCTCACGCCGATCGTCAACCCGTCTCTGCTGGTGCAAGACTCGGAATACCTCGAAACGCACCTCGTTGCCGTCCCCTCCAACCTGAAAAAGGAGTATCTTAAGAGCTACGAGACCGTGTCACCCATGGTAGTGCCCCGGTCGTCCGTACAGGTTGCGCAAGACGATGAATTTATCTTGTTCGCCGTCACCACGTTCAAGAAGCACAGTGCCGAGTTCCAACAGAAGTGTCGAGAGCAGAAGTGGACGCCCCGCCAGTACAAATACGTCGAGGGCGGAAAAGAAGAAGAGCAGAGAGAAATAGATCGCGTCACTCGGGAAGAAAAGAAGGTCTGGGGCGAGGCTCTACGGTTGACCCGCACGGGATGGAGTGAGAGTGTTATGATATGGGCGCACATCATGGCCCTCCGCGTCTTCGTAGAGTCGGTGTTGCGCTATGGCTTGCCACTGGAATTTGTGTCGGCCCTCGTACTGGTAAGAGCAATGTTTGATTTCACTCGGATAAATTCATCTCGTACTAATTCAATTATAATAGACGAACGCAAAGTTGGTGAAGAAGGTGAAGACGGCGCTGGACTCGTCATATTCGTATCTAGGTGGAAATGCGTTCGGACGAGACAAGCGAGGGAGGATCACAAAAGATGACGCGGCGTTAACATCGGAGATGGCAGCGGCCGGCTTGGGGCACGCAGGAGAAGGCAACGAGTATACGGCATACGTATATTACGAGTTCGAAGTATAGACAGTATGCAAGCAGCTAATTTATTAGGTTGGCGTTTTCGCGGGCGGACCAATGTTATAGCTAGCATCTCCCCGAATAGGGGACTTTGGTTGTCACATCACAGCAACGGGACTTTTCTGTATATTTCTTCGAAGGGATTGATATCCATTGCTCGACTCTACGTGTTTCACCTCGCTTCTAAATAGCGATTTTGCTTCTCACTTCGTGATAAATTGTAGCTCACACCCATGCCAACTTTAGATTAAACACCCCCCTTCACCTATTTTCTATTAACCAGCACCTCTCACGAAGCCAGAGCAGCAACGCCAGAATTTCCCGCGGCATCAGCAGCCGTAGCCGTAGCCGTAGCAGCCTTGGTAGGAATCAAATCCTTCTCCTCAAGCCACTTCACGATCTGCGCCACACACTCCTCGACAGAGTTCTCATGCGTACGGATGGTAATCTCGGGGTTCTCAGGGGCTTCGTAAGGGCTGCTAATCCCCGTAAACTCCTTGATCTCGCCGGCGCGCGCCTTCTTATACAAGCCCTTGGGATCGCGCTGCTCGGCAACCTCGATCGGCACGTCGACGTAGACCTCGACGAAGGGGATCGGGACGTCGCCGTCGGCGGCGGCAGCAGCCGCGTGCAGGTCGCGCGCGAGCTGGCGGTCGGCGCGGAACGGCGAGATGAAGGAGGTGATGGCGACCTGGGCGCTGTCGGCGAAGAGCTTGGCGACCTCGCCGATGCGGCGGATGTTCTCCTGGCGGTCCGCGTCGCTGAAGCCGAGGTTCTTGTTCAGCCCAAACCGCACGTTGTCCCCGTCGAGGCGGTACGCCGCGATGTCAAGGTGCAGCAGGTGTTGCTCGAGCGCGGTGGCGACGGTCGATTTGCCAGAGGCGCTGAGCCCGGTGAACCACAGCGTGAAGCCGCGCTGGCCGCGGAGGGCGATGCGCTCGCGGCGCGAGAGGGAGGGATGCCAGGTTATGTTGCTGGGGGGTGAGTTGGTTAGTTATTTGTCTTTCTTTCTTTTCGACTTATTTCCCCCCTCCCCCATTACCAGGAGAGGAAAATATATTTTATCATCCATCCGATTATATTCGCTACGTGCATTGGTTCGATTTACAGGGTATTCAATGTAGTGCGCATAGAGACGGCGGGATGCAGGTTGAGAAGGATATAAAACCGAGGGATAGCGGGGGAGGGGTAGAAAGAAAAAAAAACTTGTAAAGAGAGTTGCACGAGTAAAAGAAAAGAGAGAAAAAAAACATCGGTAACTCACGTCGCCATTTCTGTCTTAATTCTTGAGCAACGGGAGCAGAAGATTATCAAATCAGGTAAGGTAGGTAGGTTAGGTATATATAAAGAAAATATACACACACAAAAATAAATGAGGCAGACAAACGTTGAATAATTATCAAGCTCTCATAGAAGTAAATCTGGAAATTCCCGTCTCAGCTTTCGCAATTCAAGGTTCTGGACTATGTCAATAAGTGCTGTACCTAAGCTCGACTTGCTGACGTGCCTTTGCCTTAGCCGCAGCGGGTATAGGTACAATACCTAGGTACTTAATCAAAGATTCGTCATCTGACTGCGCAATGTATAAAGAGCACGCTATACCGAGACAGCATGGTTATCATGTCTTGGTATGCCGCATGTTTAACGTATTCCTAATCTTCACTCTGGCCTATGAATTATCATCTACTAAAGCAAAGCAATAATTTATATAGCCCTCATGTAATAATAAGATTTATTTGCTCCGAAGAAAAAAATATCGTCGGGACATCTCTTCGCCTCTATTTCTTTCAGACAATAAATACGTCTTCCTTATCACATGCTAATAAGGTTCAGTAAACACACAGAAAATTAACGCAAAACTGTAATATGTGCTTGCATGGGTATATGGGGGATTTGGTGTACAGGGTATTGAATAATTCCCGGGCAAGTGTCCAGACGGTCCGATCCATTCGGCCTCCGACCTCTATAAGGTTCGAATAGATACCTCGAAAACGAACAAATATCAAGCATTGCCGGCTCTCATTCCAACTCCGTGCCAGGCGTAAAGTCTTGTCTATCCCGATCTAAAGGTCTATTCATCACAATGCCATCGTCTACCTTTATGCCGTTGGGTACAAGTTCATCATCATCTGAAAATCTATGTTAGCTAACTGTCTTGAATATGAGTCTCTGGTATATACGAACCGCTGCGTGTTTAGGAGACACGAACAAAGCCGTCGCCTCCGCGAGGACCACCGGAGTCTCGCCTTCGCCCACCAGGGTTTCGATGCGGCCCTCGACCCAGGCCTTGCGTCCTTCTACCTTTGTCGTCGTAGCCCTGAGCACGATGTACGAATCCGCATGTGCTGGGGCACGGTAGTTGATGTTTAGCTTGGCGGTCAAGCCCACCTTATGCGGTAATGCGGCAAAACAGCACCGCGCCAGACCCTCGTCGAGTATTGTCGCGAGGAGCCCTCCGTGCACTATGCCCGGGTGGCCGCATAGTTCGTGACCCAGGTACGATATTGAGACTATAGACTTGCCGCCCGCCTCGACGAAGGCCACCGGCGGCACGACTACCCTACCTGGTCCCATAAGCGTGCCACCCGTCAGGTTGTAGACCCGGTAAGGGGCTGGGATCTTGAGATGCGGTCTCGACTCGTAGAATTCCTTTTTGGTTCGCATCCCCTTAGTGAGCGGGTGATTGTTGATGAACTCCTCGACCTCACGCTCGTGATCCGTTTCCGGCTCGAACATGGTCAGGGTCTCCTCGTCTGTGGGCGGGTTGAGGAGATTATTGATGATCGGCGCTGCCGGTGCTGCTGCCATTGCGATGCCGAGGGAGGTGAAGAATAGGCCGATAGCTATAACGGAGGCGACACGGCGTAAGAGGGAAGGGTTGGGCGATAAGGACGGGTCTTATACGTCTAATGTCAGTCTAGGGTATTACTACGACGTCGATGTCCGGTTAGGGGAATCCTACCTGCGGCTGGGAGTGTGCTGACAAAGCGACTAACCGAAGACGGGCTCGGACGCAGGATCTGATTTATAGTCGGATATACGGTCAATTTCTGGCGGCGACCCCTAATAAGGGCACCGACTCGCATTCGCGCGGCCAGCATGGTTAATGATAGGGATTAACCACCAGGTGGGGACTCCCGAGCCAGCGGACTATATCTCCTAACCAATTAAATCAGATCCAGTGCTAGAATATTCCTCGTCGACATATCCGTAGCGGCCTTGTTGTTGAGAAACTTCGCCAGGTTTCTTTCTTGGCTGGCTGGCTGGCTGGCTGGCTGGACTTCTGGCTGGACTCCTGGCTGGATTCTTGCGGATGCAAATTCCCAACGGATTTCGCTCCTAGTCGCTCCAAATTGTCCGTCAGCCGCTAATTCTAGGGGCCACTTTTTGCCCGGCAAGAAAAATACCGAGGTAAGTTTTATCATATTAGGTAAGCCGGGATAAAGATTTGTCTGATAAGCAGTACATAGTAATTAGGTACATCTAAATACATTCTAGAAGGCCTGACGTCTGAAAAAATGATGCTACTAGCGTCGGCATGAGAGGGGCACATCTGGGATCTGCAAGGGACATGAAACCCACCGCCATCATATGTATTGGAAGGGTCCCTCTTTAAATGGATCAATTAAGAAATCCGTTTCAGAACATAATCTGCGGCACCTCAGCTATGACGTCTATTGGAAGATAACAGGTCTGCATGTGTACTAACTACATACATGTATAGTATAGAAAAATATCTTTCTTAATGCATTTGTATTAGAACATGCCGGCTAGGGCGAATTACCGCTAGGTATCCGCCTCCGTAGTCCACAATTCCGGCCGTCTCCGTGTTAGTGGCCGGATAGGTTTACCCAATCCAAATACAAAATTCGATAACCAATTCTACCAAGGCGCATCCAATCCCCATGCGTTACACGATATGATCCGTAACTACGTAGGTGCCCTATCATTTGGTAACATCAGTCTCCCCTCTAACGCAAACGAGCAACAAGACTTATGACGTTCGTGTCCATGATTATGGGCCGTCTAGCAATACATATAGAAATCCATGTAGATTACCCCAGCCTATCACACCACATTTGAGTGATCCCCACGATCTAACGACGAGTATAAAAATAAAGCGTCTGAACTAAGCACTTGCTTTCAAGCTTGTCAATCTCCAATCTCGATTAAATCACCCAAGTTAAGATACGCGACTCTCACACACACATCTATACCTACCTATATATATTATTTTCTTACATTACGCGCACCATCACGCAACACTATACCAACGACCAACGTAACCTAGTCGAAGCCTATTCCATACACCACTATCATGGTAAACAATACCTCTATACACAAGCCTAACGTCCAAGATTATCAGTACCTAGCTAAACAAAATGACCTTATAGGCCTCCGCCGAAACAGTTAACCTAGGACCAGCCCATCCCCCCAGAGAAGAATCCCTCAAACTCTTCAGCGAGATCGAATCCGACCTAAAGAAGACACTTCTTCACATGAAGCACACATACCGAAGTATGCCAACTCTCACCTCACACTCCCCGACTCTCCCCTCCCCCCTTTTCTTCCCCTCAACCATAACAATCCAACCCCCACTAACACCCACCCACCCCTCCCAGAGCACGAGCCCGAATACTTCGCCCCAGTCCAATCCCTCAGCGACGCCGACCTAACCTCCTTCTCCTCCTCGGACCTGTACCAGGTCCGCGTCGGCATATCCGCCTACGGCCTACACCTCTTCGGCAAGCAGCGGCTCCCCGCCATGCCCGACTCGGGCCCCGCATACATCCACTTCCGCGCCTTCGTCGGCGGCGACAGCCACAACGAACCCGGCCTCGCTACCCTCCACAGCATCCACACCGAAGACGTCGACGAGCCCGACGGCGGCCATAGGTACCGCGCTATCTTTACCAAGGAAGATCCGCTGGAGTGGTTTGATACTTGAAACGGGTTACTTATGGGCGGGTTGATGGGGTGGAACGAGTTATTGTGACGAAATGAGCAAATGAAGATCATGAATATCAAATTATCACTTGCGAAATTTGCATTGCTTTGAAGTTTCAGTACCGGATCGGGTATCTTGGATTTTGAACGGTCTATGTCCAGCCAGAGTACAAATATCGTTGACCATCTGACACTACTATTAAAACTGTCTATTTGCTGGTTTACAAATCATCGCCGTCCTGAGCAAGCAACTCCGCATAATCATCGGCAGACGCGAAGGTAGGCAAGTTCTTGAGAGCCTTCTTCCTCTTCTTGCGGTCCGACTCATCCTTCTCCTCGTCTTCCTTGGCTATAGGCGCTTGTTGTAGCTCCGACTCTCCTTCCTCGTCATCATCCTCCGAGTCGTCCCAGAACTCGACTCCGTCTTCGTCTTCTGAACCTTCTCCCTCATCCATTTCGGCCATCTCCTTCTTAAACTCCTCGTCAGACTCGTCGAGACTCATTAGATCGTCAAAGCCGGGCTCGCTCTCCGAGTCGCCTTCCACTTCTGGTCGAGATGCCACGAGCGCGTTCCAGATTTCGTCTTCCTGTTCCTCTTCATCCTCTTCGCCCTCTCCTTTCTTCTTGTCTGCCTTCGATTTCTTGCGCTCAGCCTGTTCGGACTTGCCTATCCGCGTAAAGTATTCATGGAAGAAGACATCCTCCACGGCGACATCCTCACTCTTCTTGTTCCAGAATTCCGCCGAGTTCAATGTGCTTCCTGCTGCCTTGCCCGAAGGTTTGCTCGACAGCAAGATGCTTCCTTGGCCGCTTGCAGCGACAGGTTGCATGATAGATACACCCTTGGTCGCATCGGCAGCCTTTGCATTGCGGTAGACGAATTTGTCTAAGAATGCTATGAGCGTGTGGTTAGCTAAATCGGGCTTCTGAGCAGCCTCTTGTCCGTTTATAAGACATGATGCATAGACATCCACAGAAGGGTGAAAATGCCGTAGGAACGGTAGTAGCTCCCACAGGCAACTGCGATGCGCGTTGCTATATTCGGGGTCTCGCTTTCGCCCATCATAAACACCCTCGGCCTTCTTCGACTGGGCTTCCGGTCCATCGACGACTGCTGCCTCGGTTGGGACATCTGATGCTACCCCTGGGACCGCTTCAGCTTCATCATGCTCCTCCGGTTCATTTATAAGTGTTTTTAAGTCCGGAAATGTTGTGCAGAGATCGATTATAAGATAAATGATACCACAAACGAAGGAAGGCTGGTGCAAATTCAAGACTTGTAGCATCCTCTTGACAAATGCTTTCACACGGCGGACATCCACATCAGATTTCAAACTTCTATACAAAAGGTTTAGGTATAAGGCTTGCTTAGAAGAGGTGCTTAGGCGCGGGTCTAGTAGCGACTCGTACAGAGTCCGATAGAATCTTTCGGTAGCAAGGTGTCGGGTGGTTGAGAGTTGCTGAATTAGCATAAGAGCTTGAATACTGGTGTTGAAGTTGGAGGAATGTGTAATACGGAAAAGTGTATCTAGGTGTGACTCGAGTCTATGGAAAGTTAGTATCGCCGTACAAAATGATATTACTTTAGATGGTAGGACATACGTAGACTGTTCAGCTTGTGAAAACGGCACAGCTCGATTCACTCCGGTAAGAATTGCAGAGACAAGCTTTTCGGCAGCTTCTTGATCGCTCGGGCTAGCCTGAGCCTTATCCTCAGTCTTCTTCGTTTGCTTTGGGTTCTTCTTCTGCTTGCGTTTATCCCTCTTGGAGGTATCGGGGGTTCCATCATGCTGACTGAATTCACCACTCTTGAGTAGGGCAACAAACAGACCAAAGTATATGTTTAGCAGAGAATCTGCGACTTGAGGTTCTTTGGTGCTTAGAATAGTCTGGTTCAATGTATTGATGGCGTAGTACTTGGCGCGAATTTGCTGTCCGGGTCGAAACAGAATATCTTGTTCGATGCTGCGAATAACTATTTGCTTCATTCCGGGATGGGTATTTAAGAGTTGTAGGAGTAGATAGGAAGCTCTCGAGGAAATCTTACGCTCGCGATCGCCAAGCTTATTTACGAGAAGTCGTAGGAGATTGGATTCCTGTTCAGGCTTGTCTCGCAATAATGCGAATGCTAGGTCGACAGCCTTGGTTCGAGCATATTCAACCTCATCATCGCACCAAACCTCGAGGTTTTGGATAATCTTGAAATAGGCCTCCTTTAGCCAGTCCTCAAACATCCACGATATAAGGTGCTCCTTGGTGATTTTTCCTGGTAATTTTTGACCATCAGACCATGTTTTCACGCCATATTTTTGGAGAGTTCCGACGAGGCCTAATTGAGAAGAAAAAAGACGTAGCCGCCTATCCGATGGCAAAATCATTCCGGGTCCAAACAAGTCTACCAGAGCAGCGAGAGCAGAGAGGGCTTGCCCACGACTCCTTTTTGCAGAAAGCCCTATCAGGTTCTCGAGGGCTTTGATGTTATGTATTGGAGATTCCTGGATAGCTAGAGTCAAGGCAGACACCTTATCTGACATTGTACCCGAAGACATGATGGTCGACATGAACTTGTGAGATGACGATTTGGACAAGGTCTTATTGTATGCCGTACTATCCTCGTCTAAGACAGATTTGGCATAGGCCTTTAACTCGGCTATTGCTGGTGCGTAGGCGGTTACATCATCAGAGGCTGGAGTCGGCAGAGATCTTAAACTAACAGCATGCCAGTCAGGACGAAGTTCAAAAATCTTGAGAGGCCAGTCAGTTCAGCTTATACGACGGCTCCTACAGTTATAGAGATGCTTACTAACCGTCTTTCTTTTCGGATCTTGTGGAGGTTTTTCTTCGGCCTCGCCATTATCGCCGTCCTCATCTTCGCTTTCGTCTTCATCGACACCGTCGACTTCTTCGGCGTCAGGTTCCGGTCTTACGTCGTCGAAACCGAGACCAGCAGCAAATTCAGCTAGCTCAGCCCGAAGGCCCTTGTCTGCGCCCTTCTTGCTCTTCACATTGCTAAGTTCCTCGACCTCGGAATCTACATCCTCTACTAACTTTAGGTCCTCCTCGTCGCCCCCAAGAGCTCTAATTTCATCAAGAAGAGTACTAGAGTTGGCTTTCTCAGAAGTACTAATTGGTTTTTGAGTCTTCTTTGGGTTATGATTATTCTTGTTATCATTGGGCTTTGATATACTTTTCCTCTTATTAGGTAGCGACTGGACAGCATCTCCTATTTGCTCTCGCTTCCTTTTGCCCTGATCCTTCTTCTCTGGGGTTTTCTTGGACTCGGCGAGCTTGCTGTCGATTTTAGCTGTCAGTTTCGACAGCGCCGTATCGTCGAAAGTCGCCATTTAGATATAAGAGGCGGAGACCTTAACTCACGCGAACCGACTTCCAAGAGTGTATGTATTTGCGTTGTCGGGATTGCCTATGCCCGGTATTTATCAGACGTTAGATCATGGGGAGGCGTTATCCGGTTGCGACAAGTAAAAGAAAATTCAAAAACTCGAAGGGAAAAAAAGTTGGGAGGGGCGAGGCAGATGGTTCCACTATATGAATTAACCAATCGATAAGCCTCAATACTAAGCTATCATGCAAGGCTGAGGATCCCTGAAGCTTTAAAATCCACTCACAGCTCTTATCGAGCAAATGTACCTAAGTACCTATCTTTTAGAATCGAAATCGCATGTTTAAGCTCACAAACACCAAGATTCAATTGCACCTGATTAGAATAACTTCCAGGAGGATATTCATACCCTACTAAATATCGTTTTAGGAGGGAAATAAACTCCATGAGCGCGTGGAATAATTAACCATGCTGCAGCCAAGATGATGTTCCTATCACGTACTCCAAGGAGAAAATACGTATTTGCGCTCCAACGCTTGAGAATTTACACTACACGACCTTCGAGTACATCAGCATCATCGAACGATCTACCGGTTTGGACCATGACCCCTATTAGTATATCATAACATACAAGTTAATGTATCGTTAGCCTGAACCCAATATACAAGACAGTTTCACTCGCCTGTCCAAGTTCTGGATACCTACGGGAGGAATAACTGCTACCGAAAATGAAGACGCTCATAGCAAGTTAATTCGGGCTGGATACCTTCGTCAAGTGAGCAGCCATATCATGAGCTGTCTTCTTTTCTTTCGTATGTTTCCTAACAACCCATTTCGAAGTCTCATGCAGGGATATTCCACATGCTCCCGCTAGGCCAAAAGGTGCAGGGGAAGTTGGAGATATTAATAGATAAATATATGTCGCAGCTTGGTAAGAACTATATATCCCCTTTTCCTAACTATATTCTCACAATGCTTATCGGTGTAAAGGCGCTTCTAAGGTGTCCTTGTCATCCATCTCATCGCAAGCACTGTGGCAGCAAACGAATCGACTAGAGGGCTACGGCCCAGAAGTAAGCTGAAGAATTAATGCCTTTACACTCAGATTCGGTTTACTTATTTGATGCCTTTTTAGTTATTCCGGTTTACCGATAGGAAAGATGTGCCCTATCTACTTGCGCCAACTCACGAAGAAGAGATAACAACACTTGTCTCGAAAACAATCAAGTCATACAAGGACCTCCCCTTGAGACTCTATCAGATCGGTAAGCTTTTGTAGATATATATCAGGTACCTAAGGTGTTTGGTCTCATTTTGTTAGGTCGTAAATACCGCGACGAAATTCGGCCACGACACGGTATGCTACGGTCAAGAGAGTTTCTCATGAAGGACCTCTACACTTTCGACTACTCTGTCCCGTCAGCACTCTCAACGTATAGCCAAGTATGCGCTGCTTATTCCCGACTGTTTGACGAGTTAAAGCTTCCATATCTAGTTGCCGAGGCTAGCTCTGGTGACATTGGAGGCGATCTAAGCCACGAGTACCATCTTCCAACGTCGATTGGGGAGGATAACGTGATTCACTGCAACAGTTGCGACTACGTCGCTAATGAGGAGCTCGCTACCACGCGGATTAGCCCCTCAGAAGACAAGTCTCCAACTGAATCCGGGCATGTGCCGACTGCTGGCGTCTGGCGTGGTGTTTCTAAAGATAGGTCAACTCTTATTAACGTCTGGTATCCTGCTTCCTTCTCGGACGACGACATTAACACATATGCTATCAAATCGGTTCTACCTGAACTGGACTCAAGTCTCTATGACTCGACACCATTCTGGTCTTCTACGCATTCTAAAACTAGACAAGGTCTACGGTTGGTGAATATTATCGATTACAGGCTTGGTTCTCCTTTCGCTATCGCACTTAAAACCAAACCAAGTCCCAACTTTCTACTACCCGAAAGTGCCGACCTCGACCTTTCTATCATCACGAGCGACTACATAACCGCGTCGGCAAATGGTGAGCCCCTCGACGTTCTTCGCATTCGTGACGGTGATGACTGTCCTCGATGCGAGACAGGGAAGCTCAAGGTCCAAAAAGCGATCGAGCTCGGGCATACATTTCATCTCGGGACACGATACTCGGAGCCTCTTGAAGCTCGTGTACAAGTGCCTACGGACTTGGTAGAAGGTGATACCGCAACCGCCAAAGCTGGAAGTATGAAAACTGTACCCATACAGATGGGTTGCCATGGTATAGGAGTATCTCGCATCCTCGGCGCTGTCGCGGACCATCTGGCCGATAGTAAGGGGTTAAATTGGCCGCGTGCCATCGCACCTTTCGAAGTAGTTGTCGTCCCAAGCCGCGGCTTGGAGAAAGATAGTGTTATTGTCTCCGAGTATCTAGCGAACTCTCAAGCCTCCCGGCCCTTAGACTTGTTGCTTGACGATCGCTCGGTGTCGTTGCCATGGAAGATGCGAGACGCTGACCTAATAGGATACCCGATCCTTGTGATCCTAGGGAAGGGATGGAGTTCGGATAGGCTCTGCGAAGTTCAGTGCAGGAGACTATCTAGCGTATCACACGTCTTGCTCGACGATCTCCCCATGTACATTAACCAACTTCTTACTCAGCTCTAGGCTCCAAATAGAATTCAAACAGTGCAGAGGCAACCATATCTTTGACCGTCTACGAGTCTGCAAAGATATTCGTAAACCTGCGCGTTGCGGGGTCCTTAGAAAGACCTGCAGAACGACCGCATAGGATCTACAAGGGTCTTGTGTGGGGTGTAAGACCTTTCGGAACCGAGATAATAACGTGTCTTAGGCGACGGAACGACTATAAAAGTCGGAAGCGCGAAGACGCGGGAATCCCCACACCCGGCCGTCCGGCTCTTCACCCTTCCGTTACGTCTGAGTTAATAACAACAATATAACACAGCACTTAGCTTTTAATGGTTTGATAGTTCTAACCTAGGATAATCTGTAGTTATACATCTAGAATATACTTGTAAGATTAGAAATCTTACTTCTTAGGTCATCATGGCTGCTCCGGGGAACAAGTTCTTTATCCAAGAGAAGCTCAAGCAGACAGCGCCGCACCACGAGAGCTTCCAGGCCTTATGGGAGACGAAGTGGAAGCAGCCGGTACGTCGCTCGGCTCAATTTACAGTCCAGTCGGCACACAACACTAATCAGCTAGGCTAGTGTGAGATGGGCGTATACCCATTCATGTTCGGGACTACACAAGACTTCCAGCCGGTAGTCGACGAGATTATCGCGAAAGGGCTGAAGAAGCCTTACGACTGGGATGAATACGCCCAATGCTTCTTTCCTAAAGCAGAGGAGCTTGTGGCCCGCGCAGACGCTGCTAATAATGAAGGAGAATGGACTAAGGCTTCGGAACTGTACTTGTGCGTTGTGGCCTGTGTCGAAATATAGCTGTTACGTGTTTCTGTAAGCTGACCTATATTCTTAGGCGCGGTTCAGCACTCTACCGTATCGCCCGGTTTCCAGCGCCGCGCTCCGAGAAGCAGCGGTACGCCTGGGCAAAGGGCAAGGAGGCTGCTCTCAAGGGGCTAGAATTATCGCGGTATCCCATGGTAGAGATCGAGATCCCACACGTCCACGCAGCGAATGGCGACGGGCCGGTCCTTTATGCTTACTACCATCGCCCAACCGGGTTGTCCAAGTCGTCAACCTGCCCCTTGATTATTATATTCACGGGTCTGGACGGCTACCGGACAGAACTAGCAGTCTGGAAGAACGGCTGGGCGGAAGTAGGCTGTGCTACACTCGTCGTCGAGATCCCCGGCACCGGCGACAACCCCGGAGCGCCGGCTGATCCCTCCAGCCCTGACCGGGTCTGGAGTAGCTTGTTCGACTGGGTCGCGCAGCAGGACGACATTGATCAGAGCCGAATCGTAAACTGGGGATTTAGTACGGGAGGGTACTACTCCATACGCGCGGCGCACACCCATGCTGATAAACTGAAGGGAGTGGTGGCTCTCGGGGGTGGTGTCCACCATATGTTCGATCCGGAGTGGCTGGATGCGGTTGACGACTTGGAGTATCCTTTCGAGTAGGTCTTCCGAAAGATTATTTCCTTATTACTGCCTGGTCAGCGCTGTTACTGGTTTCCAACCTCGAGTAAACGAGGGAGAAAGGTAATTCTAACTAATGATGTGTCTCCAGTCTCGCCCATACACTCAGCCACAAGTTCGGATACGCAGATCAAGAGTTTGAAAAATTCAAGAAAGAGGCGCGAGACAAATTCTCTCTACTAACCACCGGCATACTGGATAAGCCATGCACACGTCTACTTCTAGTAAACGGAACTGAAGACGAGATCTTCCCAATTGACGACTATTATCTATGTCTACAACATGGCGGCCCGAAAGAAGCTCGGTAAGTTGCCCCAAACCAACATTCATTTCTCTTCTCTCTTCTTCTATGTTTCAAGAAATTAATACAATCTCCTGCTCCAGGTTTGTCTCAGGAGTCAAACACATGGGCGAACCGCAATCCTTCTCTATTATTCTGCAATGGATCTTTAAGCTGCTTGATATCCAAGGAGATGTGGGGAAGTTTCTGTCGACTATCCCATTTAAACCGAAATATTAACAAACTAGAAAGATCATGGGAATGGTTATAATGAAATTGGTAACTAATCATAAATACCTACTATTTGTATTTCAACATAATCCCTAACACATTTATAAATTAGCCCTGGTTCATGGGAGGCACCCTAGGTGGTAGTTTGCTTGTTCTTTGTTCTTTCTCGGTGTAGCTTACCCAGAGGTGATCAGCGCGGGGTGGTTGGGTCTGATGTTGTGTTGCCGTGGCTGCAGCCGATTACGAAAGAGTCTTTAGGTACCTTTCTTTTCTGCACATCTAGCGTGCTCTTTTCAGCAGCATTTCGACATCGCTAGGAATACGACCTTCCTGAAAAGGTGCATTATACTTATGTAGACAATAGAATTCCTAAAAACGCAAGCAGCAGCGTACGATCTGTCTTAGGCACTGAGACATATACCTTCATCGTCTACAATACCTATAGATGGGAGGGAAAAAAGCATCGACCCCACCATCGGTAAGGAATTCTGGACTCGTAGAATTCCGGATCTCTAAAAGCTTGGCGTTTGTGGAATATCGCAAGTGTCGCCCGAGTCATATTTATAATATATAATAATCCCTCTCGACCCATTCTGGACCGCTTAGTTCTAGGAGCTACAGGCACGATTACCCTCACAATGGCGGTTTTGGGAATCATATTGGGCCTGCTAGCGGCGGGATTCGGCAGTACAGCAGCAGGACTCACGAGAGCCGATCCCGTAGTGACACTGACGAATGGTAGCTACGAGGGCTTATACCTTCCAAGCTTTGAGCAAGACATCTTTCTCGGCGTGCCGTACGCCCAAGATACCGGTGGGCAGAATCGATTCCGCGTTCCACAGTCCTTGAACGAGACATGGAATGGGACACGGGCGGCTAAGGCTTACGGCAACGCTTGCCCGGACTATTATTTATCGGCTGAAGAACTGCATGGTATGAGCGAGAATTGCCTCAGCATCAACATTGTGCGACCGGCTGAGGTCCGTGGTAGTAGTAACGGTAGTAGGACCACCTCGCCCCTCCCGGTGATGCTATGGATCCACGGAGGTGGCTATCAATACGGCGGTAGCGGACAATCCGTGTATAACCTCACATACCTTGTGCAGAAATCGGTAGAAATCGGCTTTCCCGTTATCGGAGCTAGCATTAACTATAGAAAAGGTGGTTGGGGTAATCTGTACTCTGTTGAAATTCAGGTGAGACATAGCCGTCCGCTCTACTTGAGACTCGTGAGGAGCTAATTAAGGGCATAGGGATCTGGGAATACCAACCTAGCACTGCGGGACATGCGCAAAGCGCTAGCCTGGGTACAAGAAAATATTGAAGCCTTCGGAGGGGATGCTTCATCTGTGACAATCTGGGGCCAATCCGCCGGATCATTTGCCGTGGTATGTTCGAGATGAATATCATGAGGAAAGAGGCACTAGAAGTGGTAAAGAAGCTAACGCTGAAAAACTGAGTAGGGCCAACTTTTGATGAGCTATGGCGGACGAACAGACGGCCTCTTCCATCGTTCTATCCAAGAGAGCGGGAGTGCGACGACAGCGTGGTGCAACGGGTCAGACTGGTACCAGCCTATTTATGACAACATAGTCGATCAGGCCAACTGTAACTTGGTTCCAGATACACTTGAGTGCTTACGGACCATCGACTACGAGACCCTTTATCCGCTTCTGAACTCGTCAGTTATCCCTGGCCCAGGATTCTACCCTACTGTTGGTGAGTAGAGCAAAATTTGACTTGCTCACGGTTAGCAGCAGCAGCAGCAGCTAATCTCGGTTACCAACAGACGGCGATGTGCTCCCCAACTACCCATCAGAACTCTTGCGTGCCGGTCGGTTTGCACACGTGCCTCATATTTATGGAACGGTATCAGATGACGGTACCGACAACGCCCCTTTCGGCATTAATACGGACGAGGACTTGCGGGACTTCCTGCTCCATCACACGGGTTTCGGCTTCCCAGAAGCGACGGTTGATCATATCCTGGAGCTATATCCGGACGACCCAGCGCAGGGAATCCCTTTGAACACGGGATCGGAACGCTTTGCGGATTATGGATGGCAGTATAAGCGGGTTGCGGCTATCGTAGGCGACGTCTTCTACCACGGGCCACGACGTTTCGACACGCAGAACTACGCTCCGTTCTCGCCGACGTACGCGTATAGATTCAACACTCGGCCGTGGGAAAGCACACTCGCCAACACTACGGCGATTGGCAATCCCTTCAACGGGACCGGAGGGCTCGCACCCGCCTATAAGGGCGTAGAGCACTTTAGCGAGGTACCTTTCGTCTTCGCTAATCCAACGATGCTGGGCCCGTGGCCAGAATACCACAAGCTGAGCGACCAAGTAAGTAGCCAGTGGATACGATTCGCGCACACGGGCAATCCGAATGGTCCGGGATTACCACATTGGCCGCGATACGATAAGGGTAAAGACGGCCTTAATCTAGTTTTGCAGACGGAGGCGCAGGGTGGAACGTATGTAGAAGAGGACACATACCGGTTAGCTGGGCGCGAGTATCTGACGCAGTGGGCAAGAAGGAGGCACGTATAAGAGTCTTCCGATCGAAGGCCCGGTTGTAATAACACCCTTATTTAATCCTAGTGATAGGCATAGGCCAGCTTACGGTTAAGATAGTAGCCCCTATTCATGATAATATAAAGTCTGGCCTGCGTTGACTATTCACCTTCAGTATTGTTTATTAAGAGCCCATTGTCGATTCTAGATGGTATCAAATGTGCACGACAGTCTGCCAATCGGTTAAGCTTTTGTGTAGTACGATGTGCAGTCTACCAATGCAAACCGAATATATAATGTAGTTATATCGTAATGTATATCAGAACCATGGGACAAGTCGCATGTTGCTTGCTTGCTGCTTATTGTAAACTGACGTGTAAATAGGCAGCATAGGCGGTCAACGGTTTACTATGGTCAATCAACTCTCACAATGAAGTTGGAGTAAAGATAAAATAGGGGGTGTGCTGCCTTGGGGAACGCAAAGTCGTCTGGTCACAAGACTTCGCGACAAGTTCAGGTCCTTAATTGCTACGATCCCAGTATTAGTCCCATAATTTAGCCCCATCAGAACCCGAAGACCCCTGTTTTTTTAGGCTTCAGTCGCGCTAGATTTCTTTTGGCGCGTCTGTTAATCCTGCCGGTTTGGCGTCATCACATCCATTCTTACCTAAAATGGTAATAATACGAGAGCATGTACCTAGAATTACACTTAACGTTGGCGAGTCTGCCTAATTGCCATGTTCGATGGTCTATATCGAGATTCGTACCTCTTGTACATAGATCACTAGGTTAGATAGATGTTTTATATAAAACATCTAATAACATCTTAATCAAATGTAGTCTTTGTCTTCACCAGCTCAACTTGATATACCTCACTTCTTTGTTCTTGTTGTGTTTTTATCTAACTACCTAGTCATATCTTACTTTGGTCTTTAAGACTATCTTGAGCAATTGGATTTTGAGCTGAGCTCAATCGAGAACAATGGCAGTTATAGACCTTCCTAAATTGCCCGTCGCCCACGACGGGCTGGTAAACTACATTGCCAACCATCCTAAGACTCCGATCAAAGATATAATGGAGCCCTACCGCAAATTCGAAGCCAAATTACGTGAAGTATATGCTCAGGATCGCAACAATCCAGCCTTGGACGACCCCTATCTCAATGCTCTACCCCTTTTCACTAAAGACACACCAAATATCAAGACCCGTGCTCGTAACCTTAAGGCAGAATCGCCTAGCGAGAAAGCGAAGTACATCATGACTCTCCCCAATGACAAGCGTCGTCCAAAAGGCTCACCCGCCGTCGTTACTTCTCTCAAGGAGTTTCGACGCAATTTCGGTATCTTTTCCGAGTCTTCTCTCGCCGAGATGGACTGGAGCAATGTCATTGCTGCCGGTTCATCCGTAGTTAACTGCCTCCTACCTGTTCCCGATCAGTATAATCATTCCAAGAGAGCTCTCCGCGAGTATTACCACCAGAAGTTCTGCCCGGCTTCTGACGTCGACTTGTTCTTGTACGGACTCGATGAGCAGCAGGCTATCGAGAAGATCAAGGATATTGAAGCTCGAGTTCGCGACGCAATCCTCTCGGAAGTGACGGTCGTGCGGACTAAGAACGCTATCACTATTTGTGAGTTCTCATTTCTATATGGCTTATAGCTATGATCTAACTCTACGATAACTAGGCAGTCAATATCCTACTCGCCACATCCAGGTATGGTTTCGTGTCTGATTTAATCTACACTCTATTAGTTATTAACATTCCCTTTAGGTTGTTCTTCGAGTGTACAAGTCCATCTCGGAGATTCTTACCGGGTTTGATATCGATTGCTCTTGTGCTGCTTATAACGGAGAACAAGTCTATTGCTCCCCACGAGCTCTAGCCTCGTATGTCACCCAGATAAACCCTATCGATCTTAGTCGGAGAAGTCCCTCCTACGAAAATCGTCTTTCTAAGTATAGCCACCGAAACTTTGAGGTTTACTGGTCAGAACTTGACCGATCTCGGGTCGATCCGACCATCTTCGAGCGTAGCTTCCAGAGGGTCCTTGGACTAGCCCGTCTCCTCGTTCTAGAACGACTACCGACCACGAACGCTAGAGATGAATATATGAGGAAACGCAGACGGGAAAGGGGCCGACCGGAACAGCCTTTTCGCTACCAGCACCGTCTCCGCGGAAATATTAAAGACATCCACGAAGATGAAGTGGCAGATTGGGTCGACGAGGACGAAGTTGCTAACTATCACACTTTTACCATTCCCTACGGCGAGAAATTCCACGCTAAGAAGATCGAAAAGCTTTGCTATACCAAGGACTTGCGTAAGTAAAAGCTCTTTTACTACTATGTCTACACAGATTCCTCTCGTTGTCTTTTGTTATGCTCCCGCCCCCGAGTTATGATATTTCATGTGCCTAACCTAATCCTAGTTCTGAACGCCGAATGGAACCAACCTATAGAAAGGGAGGTCTATCTTCACAGGCACCCCGCCTTCTTCGGAAGAGTCCAAGATGTAAGCAGGACCTATAAGCATATGTGCTCTGACACGCTTCTAACAAGTTTAAGGTGATCGGCGACTGCTGTAGCACCTGTCCGAAGCCCCGGACTCCCGAAGAGATCGAAGTAGCCGAGAAGGAGAGCGAGATTTACGTGTCGGGGAAAGCGACCTTTCGTATTGACGACCCAGGCAGACAGGTAAGCGAGGCCCATCACCAGTTACATACGTGTAACACTAACACATCCGTAGCAAATCGGTTCGTTCAATCCACTCACCGATGATGACTGGACCGAGATGGCATATGTTGGCAATACTGCTCGACTCTGCCAGGCTATCATCGACGACGACCTCGAGCACGTGGAAGATTGGCTCTCGCAAGAAGGCGCCGACCCCAACAAGAGGGATTACACAGGCCGAACCCCACTGCACCTCGCCGTCATCAGCTCGACTCCTCAGATCGTGAAGTGTTTAGTCGATCACGGAGCACGTCTTATCGCCCGCCTAGCGGATGGTCGAACCGCGCTTCACCTAGCTGCATCGCGAGGCGATATTGAGATGTTAAAGATTCTCCTGGAGAAGAGCAATGCTAACGAGGAAGCGGAAGAAGATAAGCTCGACCAGCGTCGCAAAGATCGTAACGCGACGGACAAAGGCACCCAACCTGGCGAAGCTGACGATGAAGGCTCCGATCCCGAGATGGTAAGCGATGAAGAATCCGAGGGTGGTGACGTGCAATCTGTAACCACCGGATCATTTGTCAAGGTCCGCAAAGGCAAAGAGGCCGACGACGAAGACGTCGTAGTCCTCGAGAACGACCAGAGCGAACCGGATTTTTACAAGATCAACACCGTCGCCTGGGACTCGAAATGCAGTCCTCTGCACCTCGCCATCCTTGGAGGTCACTGCGAAGCCGTCAGGCTCCTATGCCAAGAATTCGGCGCCGACGTGCTCATGCCCGTTAAATTCGGCAACGGGTCATATTCGAACCCCAACGTTGCTATCTTGACATTGACCTTGGCTTTAGCACTCCCGACTGACAAGGCCATACCTATGGTAGAAACATTGTTAAGCTTAGGCGCCACGTCTTCGCAAGCCGAGACAACCGGCGTGACCGCTTTCCAACGATACATTCGGAGCGGTAGGCCGGAACTAATCGAGAGCCTATTGGAGAAGGACAAGATCGGCCTTCAAAATGCGATCAATCATGTGGCCGTTCACGGTACACGCTACGACGGCAGCACGACCAGCCCGCTGATCACAGCTCTCGGTGTGGATAGCCGGGAGATCGTGTCCAAGCTATTCGAAGCTGGAGCAAAGGCCGAAATCGACTACGAAGACTGGTTGAAGAGCGCCAAACTCTCCTACGGGGACCAACTAAGCGTAAGTACGCCCCGTATTCTGATACCATAATTGATTCGGACCTCCATAAATGCGTACTTACTAAAGGTCGATAGAATTACGAGAGGAACCTCCAGACATTCAAAAACACTACCGAGCAGCCCCTAATCGTGGCCATCAGATCTCGATATCCTGCTAATGCTATCGACATACTGGAGAAAGGAGCCGATCCCAACGCGATGACTAAAGTGAGCCACGACGTCGTTAAGGGTCACGGTTCTAGTTATAACAAGGGCCAAACCTCGTTGGATCTCACTCGCGATATACTCGGACAGGCTCGCGAATATAGGGGAATGTTGGCTGAATCGAGCCAAACAACCGAATCTGGAGAGGCATTAAGCTTCTATAGCACACAGTCACACAATCTTCAGAAGCGCCCAGCTGAGCCTTTCGGAATCGAAGAGTTCCTGGCAAATTTCAGCGAAGGGACTTACCAGCACTGGGTCGTCTCTATGGATGCTACCGAGAAGATCGAGCGTCACAAGTCGGATCTGAAGTTCTTCGAGACGCAAAAAGAAAATAGCGCCAACCTACAAGACGTGACAGAGATCCTCGACGTCCTCGAGGATGCCATCTCGCAACTCGAAAGCCTGGAGAAAGTCCTCGAGGCTAAGGGTGCGAAAACTTTCAAGGAACTATATCCTGACGCTCCGGAGCCCCTACCACGCGCGACATATACGTACCCGACCCAGGAACCAACGGCATACGCCCTGGAATTCAACCTTATCAACGCCCCGGACGTCACAGAGGCGAGGAAAGCCGCATATATCAAACTGTGAGCACAACCCCCAAATTTATGGCTTTTCCGCAATGCTAACCTGTCAAAGTTTCGAGGCGGCTTGGGCTGGCGACCTTGCTACGATCAAGTCGCTTACCCTGGCTTCGTGGGATGCAGAGAAGCAGGAACCACCTCTTAAGATAGCAGTATCCGACATGTTATACAATAATCCGTTTTCTATCGCGCTCATACGTGGGCACTACGAGGTGGCAAAAGCGATTCTGGAGATCGCCCAGGCCCAGTGGGCACCAAGCGAGGAGAAGACGACGCGATTCACGATGAACAAGGACGAAGACGAGGGTTCGGCGGAATCCGATAGCGACGACGAACCCGAAATATACGAAAAGATCATCGACGACAAATTCACCATCGAGGATGTCGGCCAAGTATCCATGCAAGTCAAGAGCCAGACCACCGCGAGCGCGCTTCTCAACTGGGCGACACCAACGCGCATCCTCCGCAACGGCTCGCTCACGTGGAGCACACATAGGCGAACCCCCCTCTTTGCCGCTATAGAACAGAACGATGCGAAAGCCTTCAACTTTTTGATCGACCTGAATATCTACTTTGCCAGCAAGGAGCCCGTCGGCGAAGACGAGTCGAGCCGATTCTACAAATTCCCGCAGGATCTATTCGAGAACGCTCTGAGGCTCGGCCGAACGGATATGCTCGCGAGCGTCATCAAGCGAACCGGGGCGGGGATCCCGATAGACGACCTGGTGAACAGGACCGGTGCC